CAGCGTCCCCAGTGACCCCACCCCAGTGTCCCTATCCCAGTGTCCCCATCCCAGTGTCCCCACCCCAGTGTCCCTATCCCAGTGTCCCCATCCCAGTGTCCCCATCCCCGTGTCCCCATCCCAGGGTGTGACCCCATCCCAGTGACCCCATCCCATTGACCCCAGCCCAGTGACCCCAGCCCAGTGACCCCAGCCCAGAAGATCCAGCCCCTCCATGGACTGGGAGATGGTGGGACCAAGGACAGGTTGATGGACACAAGAAAGAGGGACAATTGGGCTGGAAGAACCAGGAGGAGCTGAGGAATGAACCAGCCCAGGGTCACCAGGAGCTGGTGGGACCCCATCCCAGTGTCCCCATCCCAGAAGATCCAGCACCTCCATGGACTGGGAGATGTTCTGAACCGGGATCGTTGGGTTTGATGGACACAAGGAAGAGGGACAATTGGGCTGCAAGAACCAGAGGTGGGATGGGACCAGCCCAGGGTCACCAGGAGCTGGTGGGACCCCATCCCAATGACGCCATCCCAGTGACTCCATCCCTGTGACCCCATCCCAGTGTCCTGAGATCCAGCTCCTCCATGGACTGGGAGATGGTGGGACCAAGGGGGGGGTGATGGACACAAGGAAGAGGGACAATTGGGCTGCAAGAACCAGAGGTGGGATGGGACCAGCCCAGGGTCACCAGGAGCTGGTGGGACCCCATCCCAATGACGCCATCCCAGTGACTCCATCCCTGTGACCCCATCCCAGTGTCCTGAGATCCAGCTCCTCCATGGACTGGGAGATGGTTGGACCAACTGGGGGGGTTGGTGGACACAAGGAAGAGGGACCAGCCCAGGGTCACCAGGTGCTGGTGGGACCCCATCCCAGTGTCCCCATCCCCATGTCCTCATCCCCGTGTCCCCATCCCAGTGACCCCATCCCCTTGTCCACATCCATCCCCGTGTCCCCAACCCAGTGTCCCCATCCCAGTTTCCCCATCCCAGTGTCCCTATCCCAGGGTCCCCATCCCAGTGACCCCCATCCCAGAAG